TATATATATATATATATCTTCTTGCGAGGAAGTTGCATCTGTTGTATGTATTCTATGTAAATGTTCTGAAACCAGTTTCAGAGGAAATGTAGTTAGTTTGACACCATGAGTACATATTAAGCCACTGAAAAATAAAATTGTTGCATTGGCAAAAGTCTGTCACACACTGTAGGTTAAATTTTGTTTTTATAAACCCCGCCCAACTCTAAAAATGTTTTTATAAAAATCTCCTGTGTGTTTCTAGCTTGAGTATGCACCTTTGTAACACGTAAACTGACCACGGTTTTATTTAAGAACCCACATTCTACAAAAACCGCATTCAACAGAGCAAATACGAACAAATTAGTTCAGTGTTTTACTTAAGGTGCTTAGATATGACAGATAATTGTATTTAAAATGGGAATAGTATTGGTCTCCTAACAGTCAGTAAGACTTGATGTGTGTGTGAGTGTGAACAAGGGGCAGGCAGTGGGGATTGTGCACTTTCGGATGTTACGCTCTATCAGCAAGAAGAGTGTAAAGTCTGCCCGGGTCTGCTGATGTGGGCAGAGAGTTTGCTGCATAGTCAAAACCTGACTGGGTCTGAGGGTCTGTTTTTATTTTTTATGTTTTTTTCTAACTGAGACCATGCCCATAATTACTTGCCCACTTGGCATTGAATCAATCCTCTTCCATGTGTGATGTGTTTATTTAGCTTAGCAGTGAGAATTTTTTTTGGGAGTGAGGATTTGGTAACACATTGGGATATATGCAGGGTTTTGGAAAGGGATTGGACAGAATCAAGGGCGTCAGGGATTGGCACATGACCTCCTAAAGCAGAACCCTAGTGGAAGAATGTGGTTATTTCAGGTTTGCTCAGAAACGGAGCTCATTAATCAATTTATATGAATAGATGGCCTTATTGTGTTAAATTCCTCTGACTTTTGGATAACTCTGTTTAGTTGAAAATAGATTTACATAAAGTTTTCTCAGACTCATTTTCATATCAAAGAGCATTCTGGTTAGTTTAATAAAGAAGGTATTGCTTACAAGGTTATTATATAAACTTAGAGGTAATGTTCTTATTTTTATAAACCCAGAGCTGAGATGTAGATGGTACAAACGCTGTAATGCAAACCAAACGTTATTAAGTTTTAATTAACTTAGTCAAACTCAAACTATTCTTCAAGTTGGATGCACTTAATTGTATCCTGAGGTGCGTAACACACACACACACACACACACACACACCATAATAAATCTGTCAGTTCTCATGATATTTTCCTTATGTAGTGATTCAGATTCATGTACTAGATTTTATATTTTCTAAATTAATTCCTGGTATTTAATGGCACAGTTTGGATGATTAACGACAGGATCTCTTTGTTTTTGGGATATTCCTGGTTGTTGGCTGTTTGGTTTCTGATTTCTTGGCAGGCTTTAAATTGAGGTGTTCCACAGATTTATTATCTTTGAATGATTTTGGAAAGTAAGCCTCAAGGCCTAATCCATCATATTGTGATTAATATCTCCCAGTGACTAAGATCTGAACCAACTGGGCCTTATATTCTTGTTCCTGTAGCTAATCTTTACCAATATAATAATTACACCTCTATTCATGAACTAGAGCATTCATTTTTTGACAATTAATTTAACATGATTAAAATTTATTAGGTTCCTCCTTTCATCAAGCGTTGCACAAGCTTCTACGCACGCTCGAATTCACTAACAGATAGTGCAGCTGCTCCATGGCCATGGGCAGACAGGCTGCTACATCAACTGCTCCATGGGCAGCGAGAGCAAGATGGCATGTAAGCAAGTGAGCAGTTGCATTTTTTTTTTTTTTTTTTTTTTTCTCAAACATCCTGTACTACTGCTTAAAATCCATCGCAGAGGACAGTCAACCAACATTTGTTATATTTTTTTATGGTTTGTGGATAAAATGAGATCACGGCTGGTCAGGGAATTGAACTTAATGCTGATGGGGGGGAAAATCTCCTAATTAGTACTTGATCACACTATTTCTTTAGAGGGTTGTATTTTCTTGTGTGTGTTGGGGGGGTGTAGGCGATATGGGGCGGTGGGCATGTGTGCGTGAGTGTGTTTTGGGACCTTGTCAGCAGACTGAGCCACAAGGGCCCCTGTGGTAATGTGTGTATTAAATGATTAGTGTGTTAGTTAGCATAACGGCCCTTCAGCAGCGTTTAATCACTCTCAGGGGTGGGCGGCCTCACAGGAGGTGGATGGGAGGGGTGGGAGAAGAGAAGGGGGGAGGCGGAGTAAAGGGAGAAGAGAGATTTAAACGGAGGAGAAGGTACTGCTGGTTGAATGAGTGAGTGGATGATCTGTTGCGAGTACGGAAAAAACGAAGGGGGGGGAAAAAGGAGTGAGCGTGACAGGAGGCAAGAATCCAACAGAAACATAATCCAGCAACACTCACACACTCAGCAGAGAGAGATACAATCTTTACAAGGCCTGAACGTCTTGTTAATGTCAGCACTTGGCCCATCATCTGGAACAGGTCCCATAAATAGCTATTAATAACAATGCAAAATGGATGTGGATAAAGGCGGGCCCTGCCTCAGCCTTGACAACACTGCTGTTGTTGATAATTGTGCTGTTGTCGTTATGTTGGGAGGGGAGGGGAGGGGTCGTCTGGTGCAGACAGTCAATAATTGTTGCGAACTGCGTGTGTGTAGTAGTAGTAGTAGTCTATTGCTACAGAGGTTGTCTTGCACGACACAGTGGTGACTGATTGACTGACAGGCTGAATGGCTCGGATATTGCTTGCGCTGGTAGCAGATCAAACTACTGGTGTAGACGGGTTTTCCTTGGCGGGACAGCGCCGTTGTGGTTCTGTTTTCTGCCTCTGCTGCCACAACATACTGGCCAAGTTCAGCTGAGGCAGGATGGGTAGTCAGCAGCATGCCAGATGGGTCAAGGAGTCTGCTGTCTAGTCGGAAAACATCGCCTGTCTTCTTATCCTGAGTGATAACAATGATGCTGATTGTAATGACAGTAACAGTAATTGTTAGTATGATAAAAGTGAGCAGCTCTCCTCTTAGCACACTAACAAAAGTTGTGTTTGTTTTGCAGAAAGAACTAGACGCCACCGCCACACAGCTTGCCAACAGACAGGATGAGAGCGAACAGACCAGGAAGAAACTAATCGACCTGAGCCGCGAGTTCAAGAAGAACACACCAGAGGTGAGAAAATCAGATATTCACGGACGCACACCAACACACAGCCACGCATATATCCCGCAATTCTTTTGACAATCGCAGTTTGCCTCAGTGTTTCTCTGTGTCTCTTCTCTTCTTCATAAATGCGGCGGTGATTATTTACTGAGAAAGCAGGGGAGGAGTAGACGGCACAGAGATGCGGGCTTGGCTCCCAAAAATAGTCTCTCCATTAGTTTCCCTGAAATCCTAAAGAGACAAAACAGAAAACCCCTCAGGAGTTTGTATTATCTGACCTAGTTTTTTATGCGTGCAGAAAGTGTGGTCTGTGAGTGTGTATGTGAGAGAAAGGAGAGAGAAAGACAGAGAGAGAGAGAGAAGCAGAGCAGGAGGGAGAGAAAGAAAGAGAGAGAGAGTGTGACAACACTACTAAGTGGGATCAGGAGGGAATTCTGTCCTGTTCCTGTGTTCCCATCACTCCTCCTGGGAATATTTGTTTCATCTCTGTTACCAAGGCAACACATTTTAAACCACACAGCGAAAACAAAGTATTGTTGTGTTATTATTGGTAATGTCACCATGGTGAATTATTGATGGTAGTATGAATTATGTATGAATGGAGTAGACGGTGGATAGAAAATTGTCAAATCTCGGTGGAGTTGACAGTAGGCCTATTATAGTTACCACAGGATGAGGATTGTGACTATTGACTTCAGCTTGTAGCCCACCCGGTGTAGTGGAATATACACCAGAGAAAACTGTACCTGCATACAAAAGACACTAATTTCACATTACCCTACACATTCATCTCTAATCTCCTTTTCAAGTATAACCACATAACGAGCAGCACACACAGAGGTGGAGACACACACACACACACACACACACAGAGGCAGAGAGGGACATGCACACAAAGAAAACATGCAGAGAAGCAGAGGTGCACACACAAACACACAGAGGCAGATAGCCTAGATCACAGAACAGGACACACACATTCATCAGTGTAACAAGGCTGTGATTTAGGAAGGCTCCTCTGGCGTCTGTGTGGCCCCTGGCATCTCCCTGGTATGTGGAGGAGGAATCTGAGCCAGGCCAGACGAGCGACAGGATTCATTACAGGGCTGTAACAGGCTCAATAGGAATCAACACTAAAACTCCCGGCGTTTGGAAGTGTATAGGCATCGAGGCTGCCTACCAAATAGGCTGGTTCATAACGCGTGATGGCCTGCGCTTGATTAAAAATGCTCCAATCGTCTTGTGTGCTAGTCGCGGAGCTGTGTTTTCTGTCTCTTGCGTGGCTGCGTGTGTTCGGCTGACCAGCCTATAGAGCGAGGCTGTCAGCTCTCTGTGGTCTGCACCAGTCAGCGGAGATCACAGTCACATCAGATCAGACTGCATTAGGCTGAGCGGGAGTCCGTCTCTGATCCATTATTCAACAACCAGGAGACCGGCCCACGTTGACTGTGTCTAGTCTGCTGAGCTGTACTCGGCGTGAACTGCACTCATGGTCTGCATAATAACACACATACACACACAGGCTTTTGTAGCATTTCCAAAGTAGTGCAAAGAAATGCAGCGTGAAAACAAAGTTTTCATAATTCATTAGGACTGACACACTGTTGAAAATTTTTTTTGAGACTACATCTCACTGTGCCTCCTAAGTTGCCTGAATTATTCATCCAGTTCTTAATTTCCTTTTAGTTAGTCAAGACTCCTCTACCACACTGTTATAAAGGCAGGGGTGGGAATGGTTGTAAAATGTCCCAAAGATTGCTAGCCAGAGGCAGTGGTAGTAAAACAACTTTGTGTGTGCTCGTGAGTGTGCGCGCACGCATGCACATACACACGTTTGTGTTTAGCTGCAGGGCAGACAGACAGCGAATGGGAGTTCCATACTCCCTGGAGGATTCCTCGGGCTGGCCTGTCTGCTGTCTGCCGGCAGCTCACACACCAGCCATCCATCTCCTGCTGCCGGGCCCCCTCCACTCCCCTCACTACACACACACACACACACTCACACCCTCTCACACACACACAGAATGACCATGGTGTCTGTGTGCATTGTTATGTTATATGGTCATAAATCTTTGGAAGTGGAGGGGGCAGGTGGGCGGAGCACCAGAGAGTGGACCAAAGGGGTTCAGGGCTCGGGTCTTCAGCATAAAGCAGTAGCTTGCATCTTGTTGTTTAAATGGGTTTCTGTGTGTGTGTGTGTGTGTGTGTGTGTGTGTGTGTGTGTGTGTGTTACAATGTTTAGTCGCAAAACTTCAACTACAAAAATACGAGATGATAAGCATCTAGATTCAAATAACATTAGGAATTTAATTAAGTCTGCCTAAAAATACAAAAAGATTAATACAGCAACTTCAAACAGTTGTTTAAAAAATGATGGTAGTGTTAAGGCGGCCCCCTTGTGCAGATGCAGTCTCAACAAATGTTGAACATTATGATTTGAGCAAAGGTAGTAATTATTTGAGGACTACTAGACTAGACTGCATTACATTATACAGAGGCTTCTATTTTGGCCACTGTGTATACATAAATATTTATATACATTTTAACAGTGATAATAGCACACTGCAAGTGTAAAATAGTGAGATGAAAAAGGTCTTATACACTAATTTACACAAATACACTCAGGTGTTTAAGCACATTTTGCTAGTTCCTGTTTGGAAAAAACAAAAATCCAAACAGGAACTAGTTCAGGTCATCGGAAAAGTAACTGAAAGGATTCCTAAATGGAAAATTAAGATTAAATCAAAATTTAATGCAAATGACAGAACTGCCGCTTCTCCTCTTTGTGCATGCTTCTCCTGTGTGTGTGTGTGTGGAGTGTGAGTGGGAGAGAGAGAGAGAGAGGAAGAAGGGGGAGAAACCAGAGCAGGGAATGGGGGGCGGGGGCAGGGGCCAGGGCAGGGGCGGGCTTGGAGGTTCCATTATTTCCCAGCCAGGGGAAAATATTGAATTTTGCCCCAGACAAACAGCCCACAACCGACCCCTGATGAGGTAACAATGGGGGCAGGGTCACAGAGGTCAATGACCTGTCCCTTCAGCCCCAAAAGCGGCCTGTTGGGACAACCCTGGGGAATTAAGCCAGCCCCAGACACAGGTCCCAGGTCAGTTTGATGCGCACTCCCTGCAGCAATCAGGTTTAGCTTTTAAGGCAGAGGTTTCATAAAAAGGCGCAGAAGTCTCCCGAGCCACACAATCTGTCGTTGCCCCCTAACTTCAATCTTCATTAGGTCAAGTTTTGTGAGTATGTGTGTGTCCCCACAAACTGTTGCAATCAAATGTTCCTGTACAGAA